GATAAAGCCTGTCTTGAGCTCTTGCCTTGCTCAGCAGGGCCACAGCTCCTTGGGTAGCAATGAGCCCAGGACTGTGGTCGGCAAAGTGCGGCTCGCGAGCCCCATACGGCTCTTTGGCCCCTTTGAGTGTGGCTCTTCCACAAAATACCACAGCCTGGGTGAGTCTATTTTGAATAAGTGGCGTGAGAAGACGTTTAAGTTTAAAAAATGTGGCTCTCCAAAGGAATTTCCGTCGTTGTCCTGTTGATGTTTGGCTCTGTGGACTAATGAGTTTGCCGACCACTGGCTAGGAAAAGCAGCTCCTCTGGGCCCCAGGCACCAGCTGAGCATCCAGAGACTGTAGGCTCTGGTGTGCGTCCCCAGCCCCATCGGCAGCCAGGGCCTCTCCCCCAGGGCGGGGCCGTGCCCACAGCTTCCACAGGCAATTCCCACCTAAGCTCGGCACCCAGGCCACGGTCTTCATTCCAGCCTTAAAGAGGTTCATACTAAATAATGCCCTGATGCTAGCCTTTGCACTGATTCTCTGATTGCATCTTCCAACTGCTCTTGGGAGGGGAGAGGGGGTGGCTTTTACCACCCAAGTAACCCGAGGCCTAGAGAGAATGGTCAAGAGGCCCAGGCCACACAGCTGGTGTGCATCTAACGAGCCCGACCTGCCCTAGCCGGGTTTGCTCAATGGATAGAGCATTGGCCTGCGGACTGAAAGATCCCAGGTTTGATTCCAGTCAAGGGCATGTACCTTGGTTGCAGGCACATCCCCAGTAGCGGGTGTGCAGGAGGCAGCTGGTCGATGTTTCTCTCTCATCGATGTTTCTAACTCTCAATCCCTCTCTCTTCCTCTCTGTGAAAAATCAATAAAATATGTTTAAAATAAAAAATAAAGAGCCCGACCTGCGTGACCATGGGCTCTCCCGCAGGCAGCACAGTGTGCAGTCCCACCTGGGACCCCTAGGGGGCGCCCTGCTCATCCTCTCTGAGCTCCGCCTCCCCTCTGTCAGGTGGAGGGTGGCTTCACCCTCCGCACTGGGACCAGGTGAGGTGCCTGTCGCACCGCAGGGGCTCGGGGAACTGTGGGGTGACCTAGTGCTGCCCCAGATACTCAGGGTGGTGTGTCAGCAGCAAGGGAGCTGGCCGGGCCCCCCACGCAGCTGTCTCAACCCCTGAGCCAGCCCCGTGCTCTGCCTGCCCGAGTTTGTGAAGACTGTCGTCGCTTTGCGTCCGTCTTCATGAGCAGAAGGTTTCCCCGGCTGATGAGTGGCCTGGGAGGGAGTGTTTGTCCCCGCGGAGCCCCGGGGGCACAGAGGAGGCCCCTGGCTCTCCCTCCGCACAGCGGTCCCCGGGGAGGGATGGTCCCGCTGGCTGGCACCCAGCTCCGTGCGTGTGAGGACCTGTCAGGAGGCTCTCCCTGCCTGTGCCCCACCGTGGGCCCAACCCTGCCACCCCCTCCGACTGCTTCTCGAAGGGGCGTGGGCCCAAGCACCCCACTCCTCAGCGGGCTTCCCCAAGGGCCCGGAATGGGAGGCGTGGGGACAAGAGGAGAAGGTTGTCAGGACCGTCCTCACCCCAACAAAAGCAGAGCTCAGGCCCCTCCCTGAGCCCCGTCTCCCCACATCACTCAGCCTCCCAGCTTTACTCACACCAGGAGCCCCTAAACTGCCCCCTCCCCCCAATGCCTATCCACAGTGCCAGGCCTGGTGCCCGCGCCCCTGCTCTTGTAAGTGTTCCTGGCCCAGGTGTGTCTTGGGTACTGACCGCACAGCTGACAGATATTCCAGTACAAGGTGTGAGGGATGGGGCTGAGGGGGGGCTCTCAGCTAGTGAACAGCCACTAAGCCGGGTGTTTTCACCTGCTTTCCCTGCAGGCACCTCTGAGACCAGCTTGTCCCCTCTCCCCTGGCCCCAGAGGCTTAGGTCAGGAGAGAGGGGACAAGCTGGTCACCTCAGAGGTCAGGGCAGAGGCCTCGCCCACCTGTCGTGGAGCGCCACGCGCCCCCTGCTGTCCTCATACCGTCCTCACAGAGGCCCCAGGAGGAGGCTGCTGTCCTCGCCCCCGTCCTGTAGACCCGGGTCCCCAGCGAGGAGGTGGCTGAGCCGAGGCTGCACTGACGTCCGCCCGGCCAGCGGGCACTGCCCCAGGCCGGCACATCGCATCCTGATCCCGGATCCCCCACCGCCTCCACCCCACTCCACGGCAGAGGAGGCCGAGAGCCAGGTGTCAGGCCCAGCAGGTGGGCCAGGCAGAGGCCTGGTGTGGGCTGAGCTCTGCCCTCGCTCTCGGGGCGTCCGCGCCCCGGCTTCCCATCTGCAAACGGGGGTGAAGAGAGACCCACGTGGGCACTAGGGGGTCAGGCTTCCGTGAGGAAGTGCCCGAAGCACCTCAGACACACTCCTCTCTCCCAGGGCCTCGGTTTCCCCACCTGGGGAGGGGGGGGGAGGGTTCGGGGAAATGGTTCCCAGCCGGGTTAAAGGTGACCAGCAGCAGTTAATTTGGGGAGGGGGCGGGCCCCTTTCCAGACCTTGCAGCTGGGGGCAGAGATGAAGTTCAGGGCACGGGCCTCGTCCCTTTGTCCTCAGCAAGACTCAGTGCAGAACGAAAATACGGGGCCCCTTGTTCAAAGGTTATTACAAACCATAAGACGGCGACAACAGGGATTAATCTGAGCACAGGATCCTTCCGAGTGCATTTTCGACGGCAGGGCTCTCAGGCCCCTGGCATTGGTGCCGGCCGGGGGCATGGGTGTGGGGCCACATTCCTGGGATCTGGGGAGCCTGGCTTTCCAAACCCCGGACTTGGCCACCCAGTCCCAGGCCCCCCTGCTTCTCCATCTGGCCACTCCCTGGATCGGAGAGCCCGGATGTTTTCCTCCAGCGCCTGAGCCCATCGGTAGACACTGTCTTTCCCTTCTCTGTGAACTGTCCCCCCGTCACTCACCCGCCCTCAGAGCAGCGGCCAGGAGCCCTGCGAGAGGTTGGAGTTGAAATGTCCTCCCTGGGGAAGCCAGGGACAGGTGGGGTTGGAGGGCTGCAGGGGTGCGGGCAGCAGCTGACAGGGCACCTGAGGGCAGGCAGGGCGGCCTTTGGAGGCAGGACAGGGCAGTTCTGACCCCGAGGCCACCTGGTGGGCTTTCCTTCTCCTCCGCCCGTGGCCTCCCCGAGGTTGGTCCAGGACTGGGTGCCCAGGCTGCCTCGAGCCCATGGACAGCTGGGCCTGCGTAAGGCAGCGGCGGAGGGTCAGCGGGTGGAAGTCAGGGCACCTCCACCGGGGAGCTTGGAGCAGGTGCTGGCCAGTCTGCCCTGAGGAGGGCAGGCCGCTTTGTATGCAGACAATGGTACCACTTATTCCCTGTGATCGTCTTTTCCAACAAAAACTTCTCCGCCCCGTCCTTATGGCTGGGCGCCTGGCTTGGGAGGAAAATAAATCAAACCGGGGGAAAAAAGACAGAGGCCGGCTCTGCTGACAGCTCCAGGAAACCTTCCCTGGGTGGATCTCAAATATCTACACGGGGGAGGGCTCAGGCAGGAGGGAGGGCTCGGCAGGGGCGAGGGGACACGCTGGTCTCAGAGGTGCCTGCAGAACTGGACTCTGGTTTCACCCGGCCGGCAGATCACCAGGGCGGCTGGGAAGGGCGGAGAGATTAGAAGCGGCCAGGCCTCCTCCGGGACCCAGGGCACCTCTGCTCTCCCTGAGTTCCCCAGACGGGCAAATCCCATTGTGATCTCAACAGTCCCCACCACTCTGACCGCAGTTGTGATTTCACGTGTAATTCTGTGGTGTATCCATGAGAGGGGAGACACTGCATTTGCCTTATGTCCCTGGTACCAGCAGTACTAGGTGCTCAATCACTCAGGGAGGAGAGGAAGGGGAAAGGCAGGCAGACCCCCTGGAAGTAACAGGGTGGAGTTAAAGCTCGTGCAAGGGCCCCCGGGCCTCAGGCTGGGGGAGGGTTCCTTTATCCCACACGCCCCTCCCTGCCTTCCAATCGCTTTCAGGCTTCGACCCACATTCCCAACTGCCGACCACACACACACACACACACACACACACACACACCACACACCATATACACACATACCATATACACACACAGATACCACACACACACACACACCACACACACCATACACACACCATACACACACACACACACCATACACACACACACACACCATAAACACACACACACACCACACACCACACACCATATACATACACATACCACACACACACACAGATACCACACACACACCACACACCATACACACACACACATCACACACCATATACATACACATACCACACACAGAGATACCACACACACACACACCACACTCACACGCACCACATACATGCCACACACACCACATATGCACACATACATGCATGCACATACACCCCGCACACACACACATCACACATCACACACACACACACACACACACACACACACACACATGAGCGCACACACACACACTTTTCACTGTACAACTTCCTGGCCAAATGCAAAGTCCTCATTGGTGGTTCATCATTCATTCCACCAGCACAGGCTGGCACCTACTGGGTCCCAGGGTCCCAGGCACCAGAGACCAACCAGCACCAGGTCCTGTCCTCAGGGACACAGCCCGGCAGTAGAGAAAGAAGTCCCTGGCGACGACAGGGCAGGTGCCGGGTGCTCTCATGAGGGAAACACAGAGGACCCCGGGCACAGAATGTGGCCTCCCAGGGAGAGGAGCAATGGGGGAGCTCTCGGATGCCCACACTGTGATCTGGAGAATGAAGAGGGCTAACAGGCCGGGGGGCTGGGAGCGGCTCCCGGGGCCACACCAGCATCTGCAGGCACGGCCCGTCCCAGGAACTCTTGGTTTGCCAGCTCCTCTTCCTCATCCCCGGTTCTGGGCCAGGGACTCTGGGGCTGGTTCATGTGGGGCTGTAACTCCCCTCTCCCCCATCCACCCCCCTGCTGGCCCCGCCACCCCACCTCCAACCCCAACTGTGCTTCTACCTCAGTCTCTTGACTTTTGTTTTCTCTCCTTCCTTTTGCTCAATTATTCCAAGCGGAGGTGAGAGAAAGAGAGGGACTGAGAGGGAGAGGGAGACAGAGATAACAACAAGAAGAGCGGTCCCTGAGAGCAGACGGAGGAAGCCCCACACCTGTCCTCCTGGCCTCACCTTCCGTGCCCACCTCGTCTGTGTTTTACTCCCAGATGTTTCAATGCCTCCAGCTAAGAAAGGGGGAGGAGCCAAGAGGGCCGGCTCAACCCCCCTCAGTCCCAGGGCCTCATCTCCCTCCTGGAAGGGAGAGAGAAGGCCATTCCTTTCATGCTTTCTCATTGCCCTCCTAGTGCACACCTCCTAGTGCAGGCCTCTGCCCACTGACATGGAAGTCTGCCTCAGGGTCCTGAGTGACCCCCAGCGAGACCATCGCCCTCCCTGGGCTCCAAGTTTCCACCCCACCTCCCCTACCCGTCAGGCTTGGCAGCTGTGCTACCCCCGTTAGAGGTAAATGAGTCAGAGGGGGAGGAAATGGGGAACCCTCACCCCCAAGAGATGCAGGGCAATGCAATGTCCTTAGCCCCTCTCAGCAGCCTGGCCCGGGTTGTCTTCCACACTTCACGGCTGTAATGGAGTCGGGAGATCTCTTGAGTTAATGCAAGGCGGCCGACAGCTTCCTCCCCCCACTCCGAGGGCTGCGGGGACCTCACACAGCACAGGGCAGCCTTGGCCTGCACCCACAAGAGGGACGGGAACCTCCCAAAGGGTCAGCAGCTTAGGCAGCCACAATTCTGCTCAGGCCTCTCCTCATCTGTAAAATGGGTACTTCTTAAAGACAAAAACAAGAATGCCTTCCTGCCCAGCTTCTATAGCTCAATGGTTGAGCATTCATTCACTCAGGAACCAGGAGGTCCCAGGTTTGATTCCCAGTCAGGGAACACGCCTGGATCTCGGGCTCTATCCTCAGTAGGGGGCATGTAGGAGGTCGCTGATCGCTGTTTCTATTTCTCTATCCCTATCTCTCTCTCTCTCAAATCAATTTTTTAAACATTTTTAAAAATTAAGAAGAATGCTTTCCAGTAACTGCCCCAGAAACCTCACCACAAACACAGCTTCAGAGGTACGGGGTCCCCGTTCACCAACACGAAAACCCCGACAGAGCGGCTGGGTTCACGCTCAAGGTCAGGACCAGGGCTGGGGCTTGAGCCCAGACAGACTGGCTCCTCGGCCCACAGTCTCAGTGACTTGTTTTTCAAATGTCAGGATGCAACTGCATCTCAAGCCAGAATAACTCTCCACCTTGCTGGGTCGAGGCACTGGCCCGCGGTGGCTCCGTCCCGCTGGGAGCGGCCGGAGAAGGGATGCAAAGTTCAGTCGAGTTTAATTTCCAGAGAGAGGGCTGGGAGGTGGGGCCAAATCCAAAGCCGGCTTTTGAGGAGCCAGAAACCCAGAAACGCCCTCGCTGGGCCCCAGGGATCTGCTTTCAGAACACTGTGTCTCCTGGGCCGTGAACGGGGCCTTTGTTAGCGAGAGATTGGATCTCGGGCCGGGGCCGAGAGAAAGGGCCGGGAGCTGGGACTCTGCTTTGTGATCTGAAAATCCAAGAGGAGGCCAAGAAAATCAGAGGCCTTCCCAGGGAAGCGGGAGGGCCCGGCTTGGGCCCAAGGAAACACAGGATGAGGCCTGGGCGTCCCCTGGGCTGTCACTCACAGAGCCTCTGAAACCCGGGCGGAAGCTGGGTGGTGGTGCTGTCTGAGGGACCAGCAGGGCCTTTCCCTGATGCGCCCGAGCTCTGGGGACCACTTTGGGGTCATTTGGGGGATAGAGTGCGGCTCGTTCATGGCAAATGCACCCCTGGTGGGTCTTCCCTGTGCCTCCCCGGGACAGGCTCCCTCGGGTCTCAGCTCAGAGAGGCCCCCTGACCCCTCCAGCTAAAGCAACCCCATCCCGGTCCCTCATCCTGGGCTGGCTTCTCTGAGCCGACCACCCTTTGGTTCTTCCTGTAACTGTTTCACATCTGGTTTTCCCAGCCAGCAGTCTGCTCCGTGAGGGCAGGGACCTTGCCTGTCGCTCCTGCCGGATGCTCAGAGCCCAGCACAGGGCAGACATGTAACAGGCACACGTGAACCATGGCTGCCAGACAGGGAACTCACCCTCCATTCCACAGATATGCCCTGAACATCCACTTGGGAGCCAGATGCTGCCCCGGGCCTGGGGCACAGAGGGCAGCCCAGCCCAGGGCCACTCAGCTGTCTGTCTGCTCAGGGAGCCAGACGGCACGGGTGCCATGAGTGGCTGGCCGGTGGGGGTCAGGAAAAATGCCCTCCTCACAGGCCTTCCCCATCAGCTCCCGGGAATCATAAGATCGCATTGCATTCTCCACCATCACCACGATTGGGTGCCAGGGTTGGGTGCCAGCGTGGAGATGCCCCAAGGACCAGCTGCCCCCTTCCTGCTGCCTCTGTACCCTCCTGCCCAGGAGCCTTCTACCCTCAACAGCCCTGGGGCAGAGGAGGAAAAGGCAGGATCTCAAACCCATGCCGATGTCGTTTCTGCCCACCAGCAGGCTGGGGGCTTGACGGTCCCTTGGCATCCCTGAGAAGAGCCTGTCCGGCCCCTGGGTCGCCCGTCACAGCCCCCAGGGCCGCGCCGTCCAGGCGGCCTCTCTGTGGGCAGCCACACTGTAAATCCCAAGGCCTGCGGGTTCCCTCAGGGGGACTCTCCCAGGAACCGGCTTCAGCCCTGGCCCCTCGGAAGCCCCAGTGAGGCCACACCTGAGGTTAGTTCTCGTCTTTCTTCCAAAACCCCCACTTGGGTCCTTTCACATAATCGGGCCCAGGCTTTCCTTGCATAAGATCTGTCACATTTTTTTTTTAAATATATTTTATTGATTTTTTTACAGAGAAGAAGGGAGAGGGTTAGAGAGTTAGAAACATCGATGAGAGAGAAACATTGATCAGCTGCCTTCTGCACACCTCCTACTGGGGATGTGCCCACAACCTTGACCGGAATCGAACCTGGGACCCTTCAGTCCGCAGGCTGACGCTCTATCCCCCGAGCCAAACCCATTAGGGCAGATCTATCACATTCTTCCTCAGAGATGATTTGTGGATAGATGAACAAATGTGTGTTGTAATTATTAAATCCTTTAAATCATTTGAACTACATATTAGTTACAAAAGACTACTTGGAAAATACGCATATGTAGGGTCTGATGGACCATGGCCAACGAACACCCAGGATCTGTCTGACCACTCAGCTAAAGAAAAAGCTCCTGAGCCCCACCAGGGAGGAGCCTGGGGCCTGCCCACGCCTCTCCCCTTTCCCATCTCTGAGGCCACCTCCCTCCAGCCTGGGCACCGAGCCCTGCAGCGTTGAGATTCCAGCTCCGCGTCAGTGGGAGTGGGAGGTGGCGTCTGCAATCGCCTTCCTCCGTTTGCCGTGTGTTCCTGAGGGGCGTGCACGGTGCTGGGTGTATCTGAAAGGTGTGTGCAAGGCCAGACAGTGTCTCCCGGTTCAACTGTGCCGCGACCACCCCGCCACACTCCACTGGGAGCTCTCGGTTGTTCCCCGCACTTCATCGTGACCATGTTGCCATGGCTTCCCTGTGCGTGTCTCCGAGTGTCCACGTGTCTCCCGGGTGTGGGCCGGGAGGTGGGGCTGCTGTGTCTGAGGGCACAGACATCCTTACTCGTCAGGAGGCCTATGTTACCTCTACCTCAGGGTCGGCTCTGGGCCTGGGGTTAAATCCGCCTAAGGCAGAGGAACAGGAAAAAGGCTTACAGAGTTTTTTTTACGTGGGAGTCCCCATAGGAGAACGACACCCCCACAGCGGAGAGATCCGAGGTATTAGACACCAGACTGAACAGAAAATAGCAGCTGAGTAAAAGTAACCGGAATACCATCCTTCGCACCTTTGCTAGAAAGAGCCAAAGTGATGATAACACGTCACCGCCCACCACCTTGTCTGTATTCAGCGGCCCCACAGTCTTAGCAACATTTTCTAGTTTCAAAACAGCTTCGATTTTGTAAAGCTCATAGATGTACATTGGTATCTCTTGGTTTTGCTTTCTTTGTTGAAAATAGCAGGCTTGGTTTAAAATATATATTTAGAAACCTATACATTTTTTAAGGTGTATTTTATTTTATTTTTTGTTTAAGTCCTTTATAAGATTTTCCCCATTTTTTTAATTAACGTATTATATGTGTACATATCTTACCATTGCCCCCCACCCCACTCCCATACATGCCCTCACCCCCCAGAGTTCTGTGTCCATTGGTTATACTTATATGCATGCACACAAGTCTTTCAGTTGATCTCTTATCTCCCCCGCCTCTCCCTACCCTCCCCGCTGTAATTTGACATTCTGTTTGATGCTTTACTGCCTCTGTATCTATCTTTTTGTTCAACAGTTTATCATTTTTTTATTATCCATAAATGAGTAAGATCATGTATTTTTCTTTCATTGACTGGCTTATTTCACTTAGCATAATGTTCTCCAATTCCATCCAGGTTGCTGTAAACAGTAGGAATTCCTTCTTTTTTATGGCAGCATAGTATTCCATTGTGTAGATATACCATAGTTTTCTGATCCAGTCATCTGCTGACGGGCACATGGCTGTTTCCAAATCTTAGCTATTGTAAACTGTGCTGCTATGAATATAGGGGTGCATATATCCTTTTTGATTGGTGTTTCCAGTTTCTTAGGATATATTTCTAGGAGTGGGATTACTGGGTCAAATGGGAGTTCCATTTTTAGTTTTTTTAAGGAAACTTCATATTGTTCTCCACAGTGGCTGACCAGTCTACATTGCAACCAGCAGTGCACGAGTATTCCTTTTTCTCTGCATCCTCGCCAAAACTTGTCGTTTGTTGATTTGTTGGTGATTGCCATTCTGGCCGGTGTGAGATGGTACCACATTGTCATTTAGATTTGCATCTCTTGGATAATTAGTGACTTTGAGCATGTTTTCATATGTCTCTTGGCCTTCCTTCTGTCTTCTTTCGAAAAGATTCTATTTAGGTCCGTTCTCATTTCTTTATTGGATCATTTATCTTCCTTTTATTAAGTTGTATAAGCTGCCTGTAGATGTTGGAGATTAAACCTTTATCAGTGGTAACATTTGCAAATATGTTCTCCCACACAGTGGGCTTTCTTGTTGTTTTGTTGATGGTTTCTTTTGCTGTAAAAAAGCTTTTTATTTTGATGTAGTCCCATTTGTTTATTTTCTCTTTAGCTTCCATTGCCCTAAGGGCAGTATCAGTGAAGAAGTTCTTTTGGCATATGTCTGAGATTTTGCTGCCTGTGGATTCTTAAAGAATTTTTATGGTTTCCCATCTTATGTTTAAGTCCTGTATCCATTTTGAGTTTATTTTTTGTGTGAGGTGTGAGTTGGTGATTTAATTTCTTTTTTTTTTGCATGTATCTGTCCAATTTTCCCAACACCATTTATTGAAGAGACTGTCTTGACTCCATTGTATGTTCATGCCTCCTTTGTCAAATATTAATTGAGCATAGTGATTTGGGTCAATATCTGGGCTCTCTATTCTATTCCATTGATCTAGTATATGTCTGTTCTTGTGCCAGTACCATGCTATTTTGAGAACAGTTGCTTTGTAATACAGCTTGAAATCTGAGACCTATACATTTTTTCAAGCACTCACAGAGCATGTACAAATATTCCACATGCTAAGTCCAGGTACCAAAGAATCAGACACATCATCGTGTGTCAACAGGATGAGGAAAGACAATAACACAAATAAAAAAGAAACTGGCGTATGTGCGGAATATATAACACTTGTAAATTGACCAAAGAAAATACTCAAGACGATATTTAGACCTGAATGATAATGAAAATACCATCAATTGAAATGTGTGGGCCAAAACCGGTTTGGCTCAGCGGTAGAGTGTCGGTCTTCGAACTGAAAGGTCCCAGGTTCGATTCCGGTCAGGGGCATGTACGTTGGTTGCGGGCACATTTGTCCCCGGTAGGGGGTGTGCAAGAGGCAGCTGGTTGATGTTTCTCTCTCATCAACGTTTCTAGCTCTCTATCTCTCTCCCTTCCTCTCTGTAAAAAATCAATAAAATATATATTTTTTTTAAAAATGTGTGGGATGCAGCTAAAATGACATTTAAGGAAACGTTTACAGCCTTCGATGCAGATAGAAAAGAAGGCTGGGATTTAATGAGCTAAATGTCAAAATTAAGAAGTTGGTAAAAGAACAATAGAATCAATCCAAAGAATGCAGAGGTAAGGAAAAAAATAGAGCAAAAGCTAAAGAAGTGGGAAAAAATGTATAATTAAATCAGCATGGCCAAAAGTTGGTTCCCTCTAAAAGGCAGTAGAGAGTGATGTGGCACATAAAATTTTTATGCCTGTAAAATTTTAAACTTCCTTAAATTACAGCCAACCCGCCCAGGGACATTGATGCAAAAACTCCCCAGCAGGACCTCGAAAGCCCACGCAGGACCTGGTGGCACGGGGACTGGTTTCAGTCCTGTCACCTCCCTGCCAGTCTGCTCCGGGCCCGAGCAGCCGAGGGGTTCACGGCTCCCTCTCCTCTGGATCCTGCCTCTCCAGAGTGGCCCAGAGTCCATGGAAAGTTCCAGTGGCAGTTTTTCCAGGGACGTCTCAGCCAGGCTCAGCCAGTGGACACCGGAGAGGGAGGGTGACTTCTCTGGCCCAGTCTGCAGCACTCCTCCGGCCCCGCCGGCTCCGCCCCAGCCAGGGGCCCCGGCCGCAGAGCCAGGCTGCCTCCCGGGGCCACGGGCTGCAGGGAGCTGAGCCAGAAGGCTGTCCGGTGTGGCATGAAACCTGGGACTGGCCATAAGGCCTGGAGCTTCCTGCCATCTGCCTCCTGCCTGGCAAAGGCTCCACCATCCCCAAGCAGGGACTTGGAGGGAGGGGGAGGGTCAGAGAGCAGGGCCTCCTCCAAGCTCACCCCTCACAGGGAGGTGATGGCCCAAAGGTACCCAACCCTGAGCATCAGGGAAGGCTTCTCAGAGGAGGTGCCATCTAAGCCGAGCCCTGGAGAAGGGAGCCAGGCCGAGAGGAGGATGACGGTATTGGTATTCCAGGTGGAAGGGAAAGAGGCCTTGCCACCGCTCAAGGGACTGCAGGCAACTCTGGGCAGAGCCAGGGCAAGTGTGAACACTATAGGATTGAGAACCACAGAGGCAGAGGTCGATGGGGGCTGCAGGCCAGGGAGCTTGGTTTGGTAGGCCTGCGGTCAGCAGGTGGAGTCAGTTCTAGCGTGGTATGAGGAGCCTGGGCAGTGACGTCAGAACTGTGGTTTCATTGCTGGCTCCCCTACTCACTAACTTTGTCACCTTGGCCACCTCCTTGACCTCTTTTGGCCTCAGCTTCCTCACCTGTGAAATGGGTTAATAAAAGAACACTTTTTTATTACTATAGATTCTCCAGATGGGAAACTGAGGCTTGGAGAAGTTAAGAGATGACAGACTAGGAAGTGTCAGAGGAGGGATCAAGACGGCTGACGCCGGAATCCACAGCCTTCTCCCTCCACCACTCAGCGAACCCAGGGAACCTGGGGAAAAGTTCCAAGTTTGGGCTCTGCCACCAGACAGTGAGCTCCCAGGGGCCGGGACCAGACCCTCCTCATGTGGACAGGCTCCGCCGCGCGGGTGAGGGATCCTGATCAGCCAAGCCTGGAGGGAACCCTGTTTGCCACCTGGAGTGAACCCTGGCAGCTGTGTGGCCTTGGAGGGTTACCTAACACCCCCGGGCCTCGGTTTGCTCATCTGTGAATGGGGGTGAAGAGAACCACTGCGTGTGGCGGCTGTACGCAGCGAGGTGACTCAGCACAGTGTCTGCCCACATGCTGTACCTGACAAATGAAGTGGTGGCCACCAGCGCCGCTGGTACTTCTACCTGCTGTCTCCTCCAGCTCATCACAAATCAGAGTCTCCACACGGGAATGGCCTCGGGCCGTCCAGCTCCCAACTCGGAGTAATGATGACGGAATAGCCGTGTCCGTGGCTAAGATGTATGGACCGCACTCGGTGTGCCAGGCTTTCGATCTGGGATTTGCACGGATTCACTAGTGAAGACGCAGCCTGGGGAGAGGGCAGCAGCTTCCCCTCTGGTCCTCCAGGGAGGAGAGACCGGGATCGACCAGCCAGGCCCAGACTAGCCCATCTGTGTGCCAGGCCGGCTACAGGGCAAGGTCACAGATGTCCCCACCGTGGGCCCCACGCCCACATCTGGGGCCTGCGAATGGCTTTCCTTCCTCATAACCCCTCCGATGGCTTTGAGAAGGAGCTTAGAGTCGGGGTTGTCGCCAGGGGGCTGGAAACAGGAAGAAAGAAGTGGCAGGTGCTGGGGCCCAGGGCCTAGGGCCTAGAGCAGTGCGCAATACAGGTTTCTTGACCGACTCTGTGTGAGGGTTCCATCTTTAGAGCACAGTGGCTCAGGCACCGGGCGCTGCCAGCCGTCTACATATTTTATACATGTGTACAAAGAAGACTGGCAGGGTATATGCCAGAAGTGAATCCTGGTTATATAATTGGTGAGGGGCAATGGGGGGCTAACATGGTCATCTTTTGTAGGTTGTGGGGTTTTTTGGTACTTTTTTATTTATTTATATTTTATTGATTTTTTACAGAGAGGAAGAGAGAGGGATAGAGAGTTAGAAACATCCATGAGAGAGAATCATCGATCAGCTGCTTCTTGCACACCCCCTATTGGGGATGTGCCCGCAACCAAGGTACATGCCCTCGATCGGAGTTGAACCTGGGACCTTTCAGTCTGCAGGCCGACGCTCTGTCCACTGAGCCAAACCGGTTTCGGCTTTTTTGTACTTTCTATACTGTCTATAGTGAACAAGTATTAATTTTGTGCTCTGAAAAAAAACAAACTTTTCTGTGAGTTTAGAACTCATCCCATTTTACAGAAGAAGAAATGAAGGCCCAGAGAGGTTAAGCCATTGGCCCAAGGTCATAGGACAGGAGGGGGCGGTGAGGACAGACTCAGGTCTGCCATCCTGTTCCCTGCACCCCGGGGAATGCAGGCCCTCAGGACCGGGGTCTCCTCCAGCGGCTGCCTGGTGGGGCCCGGGTTCTCCTTTTCCCACACCCACGCCCCGAAAGCATGCCCTCCCAGGCCTGCCAGCTCCCCGTTTCCTGAGAGGGATTTCTGCAGATGCCAGGAAGGTGCCCAGTGGAAAGAAATACATGTGACCCCCCTCCAGCTCCACAGACGCGCTGCTTATTCATAAATAAAAGAATGCCCGGGCTATTTTGGGCAGCTGTAATTTTCTACTTGAATAACCAGGGAAGTGGCTGCCTGCCCACTGCTCTGCCCTGCCCCCGGCGCCAGAGCGGGGGAAACGCGATCTCCCCCGGCGTAATGAGATCCGGGGCCAGGCCTCGCTGCTGATTTCCTTGCCTTTGCCCCGTTCCAGAAAACCCAGGTGTCCCTCAGGCCACCTCCTCGGGGGTCCGGGGAGGGAGAATCCAGGCCAGGTGTGGAGGCCATGGACGAGGTGGTCCCTTCCAGGTGCAGGAAGCAAATCCCAGCCCTGCCGCTTGTCTGCTGTGGGGATTTGGGCAGGTGACTCAGCCTCTCCGAGCCTCAGTTTCTTCATCTGTAAAATGGGAATAATTGCCGGGACCGGTTTGGCTCAATGGATAGAGTGTCGGCTTGGGGACTGAAGAGACCTGGGTTCGATTCCGGTCAAGGGCATGTACCTTGGTTGCGGGCATATCCCCAGTAGGGGGTGTGCAAGAGGCAGCTGATCGATGACTCTCTCTCATCGATGTTTCTAACTCTCTATCTCCCTCCCTTCCTCTCTGTATAAAATCAATAAAAAATATATTAAAAAAAAATAAAAATAAAATAAAATGGGAATAATTACATCACCTTGCAAATTGGGTGCAGTTGAGGGGCCTGGCTTTTTAGGGTTGTTGTTGTTGCTGCTGCTGCTGCTATTTCAGGTATGAGGAAGGATTCTCAGGCTTCAACTGGCTCTAATGCTGCCTAGGTGTGGGCTCTTACATAAGTCAACTCTCCCCTTAATTATTTTGAGAAGAGCATATTTTTTTCTATTTACCAAAGCAATCCATGATGGGTGTCAAAAAACTTAGAAAAATATGCCGAAACCGGTTTGGCTCAGTGGTAGAGCGTCGGTCTGCAGACTGAAAGGTCCCAGGTTCGATTCCAGTCAAGGGCATGTACATTGGTTGTGGGCACATACTCGGTAGGGGGTGTGCAAGAGGCAGCTGGTCGATGTTTCTCTCTCATCGATGTTCTAGCTCTCTATCTCTCTCCCTTCCTCCTCTCTGTACAAATATCAATAAAATACATTTTTTTAAAAAACTTAGAAAAATACAAGAACATTTTAAATCATGATAAATCTTAACTGCCACTATTTATTGAGTACCTACTCTGTACCAGGCCACGTGCTAGGTGCTTTCCATCACTAGCTCCAATTCTCTCAAGTCTGCATCTGTTTGCAGATGAGAAAACTGGGCTCAGAGAGGTGATGAGACTCACGTAAGGTCACAATGCTGGTAAGCAGGGCAGAAATCAAACCTGGGTCTCTTACTCTCCACAGCCCATTGCACTGGTTTTCTGCTGTGGTAACAAATGAACATACTTTCGGCAGCTTCAAACAACACTCTTTATCACGATTTCCATGGGCTGGAGTCCTGGCCTGGCATAGTTGTGTCCTCTGCTCAGTCTCACAAGGGGCCGGCAGTCAGGCTGTGTCCTCCACTGGAGGCTCAGAGGGGAAGAATCTGCTCTGAGCTCCATCGGTTTGCAGCAGGATTCATTTCCTGTGGTTGCAGGACAGAAGGTCCCAGATGTTGGGTGTTGATTGGAGTCTGGCCTCAGTGCTATAGGCTGCCAACAATTCCCAACACGTGTGCTTCAGTTCCTGACCCTGTGGGCTTCTCAGCATGGCTGCTCACTTTACCATGTCAGCAAGGAGAATCTCTTGCTTGTGCATGCTGGCAAGACAGGCGCGCGCGCGTGTGCGCGCGCACACACACACACACACACACACACACACAAATGAAAACATATCCTATATAATAAGAGGCTAATATTGACCAAACAGCGGAATGACCGGTCCCTATAATGTGCACTGACCACCAGGGGGTAGATGCTCAACTGGGAGCTGCCCCCTGGTGGTCAGTGTGCTCCCACAAGGGGAACGCTGCTCAGCCAGAAGCCGGGCTCATGGCTGGCGAGCACAGCGGTGGTGGTGGGAGCCTCTCCCGCCTCCATGGCAGTCAGACATCCCCCAAGGACATCCCAGACTGCGAGGGGCTCAGGGGACACCCCCCAGTGTATGAATTTTGCACAATGGGCCTCTGGTACTACCATAATTGTGAGAGTGACAAGCGGCCACCTTTGCCGTAGTGTATTGTTAGAATCAAGTGAAGACAGAGGGAACCTAGGTGAGAGCTGGACTTTGACTTCTGACCATGACAGAAGACCAGGTACCAGACCAGCCCTCCCACCAAAAATAACCACACTTTACAGAACCATAGACAACTGTTATCAGGCAGTGGAGAGCAGATTCCTGGGATAACTGCACCAGCATGGCACAGAGCCACGGACACCCAATGGAGCATGACAGTCCCTCTGAGCTTAGGAGGAAAGGTCAGAGTTTGGGGCACTGGGGGAACAAAAGCAGAAGGACTCTGTGGGGAAAGGGGGACCCCAGAAGTCCGTGTGGGTCCCAGGACCCAAAAGTCTTTGTCCAAAGCCTGGGCTACATGTGCCTGCGGTAAGACTCTCCAAGGTTTACCAGATGGCCGCTACTGGGAGCTGGCAGTGAGGTCACTACAGGTGCAGCAGTGCTGGGAGTTGCTGGGGAGACCTTCATCCCAGGCCTGGAGCTGCACCAGGAAGGCCATGCCTTCGGAGCGAGGACCACTCTCCAGCGTAGGGGCTGCTCTGGACCTGCCCTAGCGACACCTGAAGCCCAATCCTCCAAGTCCTCAGAGGGGAGAGTTTGGAAGTGAGTCCTGCCGAGTTCGGAAATAGCTTGAACTTTGCGTGAATCCTCCCTAAGGAAGTATTAAAGCTAAGCCCACGGGATTTCAGAGGAACCCGCCAGTAATAGTACCGCCTCCAAAAACAAAATGTGACACTCCTCCGAAGACGAAAACAGAATCCAGTCTCTACAATACATCACATCCCACATAGAGTATACGATCAAAATTTTCTAGACCTACAAAGAGACAACGAAAGGTGATCTTTAGTCAAGGAAGAAAAAGAAAAAGAAAAAAAAAAGGCAGTAGAATCTGACCCCAAGAGAGTGCAGAGGTCAGATTTAGCAGGTGAAGATGCTAAAGCCCGTAGCCCCTGGCTGGGCACAGAGTAGATGCCTAGTAAACGCCAGCTGCTCATCTCC